TGAAATTTTGTTAGCTTCTTTGAAAAAAATCTGCATCAGCACTCTGTTGTGTGTGTTCTGCTAAATTACCTTGACTTTTAATTGAAAGGTGGTTGATTATAATTTTAGTATCAGTATTATAGAAATTCATGGAAATATTTAATGATCATGTAGTTTGAACCCTCTCTGACAAGCAGGAAATTATCTTGTCTACCTGACTTTTAATAGATGACATTCACCCACTGGATGTATCAGACTCTAAACTGAAAACTCAAAGGGAAGTCAAATTCAGACTTGTAATAATCATCTTCTACTTAATGCATTTCCCAGAACACTGTGGAATATATTAAATCAGTCCTGACACAGCTACCTTTTCCCCATTCTGATTATGAAGATCTTAATTTAACCCCTTCCTGTGTAAATTATTTTGATTTTTTAGTTTCTGCAATAAGTGATTTCATCATATCCATCCAGTGTCAAAACAAAACAAAAAAAACTCTTGGTCATCACTTTTATAGTAATACAAGAAGCAAACACCAAGATTGAGGCAACTGAATGAAAATACTTGATTTTTGATTACTTACTACATATAGTGGCCCATTTATCCTGCATATAATAGGAATTCTAAGAAATGAAGAGGGAGTATTTATGTCAAGGATCCTACACCAAGGCTGAGTTATATGGCTCCTGGATGTAGACATCAGCTCTTTGGGTCAGCTCATCTGGTGATAACCATTTCTGAAATCAGTGAGCCAACAAACTCACATGAAGTGGAATTGTATCAGCTATCAATTCATTAGCTTTACAATGAAATTTCTCTATTCATTTTGTTAAATAGGTAAGATACGCACATAGTAAAAAATTCAAATAGTAGAAAAAAGAGTATGCAGTGAGAAGTTTCTACTCTCCTGTGGCCCCCAATTTCCCTCTCTAAAGGCAAGCCCGATTACCACTTTCTTCTGTATTTTCCCAGAGAATTCTATACACTTATAAACAGATAATGTATGTGTATCCTTTTTTTTAATATAACATACTTTTCAGCAGCTTACTTATTCACTTATGTATCTTAGTACATACAAAGCCACCTCATTTTTAATGGTTGTATAGTATGCCTTTGTTTTGATAATTTATAAATTTTTAACCAACCCATCCCCTGTTGGTGGACATTTAGCTTGCTTTTAATTTTTTCATACTACAAAGAGTTTTTTAGTGAGTGTTCTTTGTATACCTGTACCCACATAGCTATAGGATAAATTCCTAGAAGTGGAATTGCTAGGTCAGAGAGTAATTACCTTATTTATTTTGATAGACATTTCTAAATTACTTGACAGAAGATGAACTATTTAGAGTTCCATCAACAATGTTTAACCACAATAGAAATTTTATCTTTCCAATGACAGTTATTTATATCTGTTCTTCCAAGTTCCTCCCAGAATTTAGATACCTAGGAAACCAAAATCCAGAGATTCTTAATGAGCATGACACGAGGGCCAAGGGAGTTGCATGTGGTCTTGAAGGGTTTTCAGACAGGGCCCTCTGCTTTACCAGACTGGGATCTTCTGACAGACACATCCCAGGTCTGTTTGTACTATGTGTAATACAAGTCAGTCAAATTGAATCTCTCTTTTCAAGACTTCATACTGATAGTTCCTTTTAAGTATGTCCTTATTATATTTCATTGTTTCTTTTCCCACTTACAGTTATTCTATTACAGATTATGATTATTTTTCAATTATTTTAATTTGCCTGATTACAAATTACACATAGGAGTATATTTCCTCCAGAAATAAAAATGTAGAAAGGATTATTTCTAAACATGTTTCCTAAAAAGAGTGAATTCCATCAATAGTTTGTGAGTCTTTACTCAGAAGTAACACTTGCTGGTCCTTAAGAGCTTGATTTTTCCTGTCATTTATTTCAATATTTTCTTGTTTTATTTATTTTTTTATTTCAGCATATTATGGGGGTACAGATGTTTAGGTTACATGTGTTGC